TCCAATTCCAGTTATACCATCTTTAGGGCTCTGTTATCTTAGACAATTTACTTGATTTCTCTGATTATCTTTGTAAATTGATGTAAATCGTATTTACTGCTTGGAGTTGTTTTGAGAGTAAAATGTGATTGTTTACAAGAAAAGTAGGATCATTTTTTCCCACGAGAAGTACTCTCCTAAAATGGTCTCATAATCTAAACCCTCAAGCCCACTCTTCACCAATTTATCTTTTTTATAGCTGATACATGACCTAAAATGCAAATCAAATCATACTACTCTCTGTCAATTGCTTAAGCAATTTCATGCAATCTGTGAGGAGGTGTAAAATCTTTAGTTGTGTATATAAAGCTTTTCAGGATATGGCCCCAGTCCTATATTAAAAAATTATATTATAGTTTGCGTATACTGGCCAATGTCATGAATATAATCATCTTACTCTCTTCAATGGATACCAATACAAAATTACCATAAAATTAATGGTTTATTATATATGTAAGAAATTTCCTGATATAAAAATGATGATAATAACAACTAATGGTTGAGTACTTAACTGTGTTAGAAAATGTGTTAAGTTGTGATATGCATTATCTTATACAGATCCCTGAGCAACTTTCTAAGTTAAATAGGTACTAAAAGTAGTTTGGTTTATATATTTTATAAAAACTTTTAACTAAAGGTCAATGCCATTAAAAATCACCAACAGATGTGAGTTTATTTCAACATAAAACAAAGAAAAATGTTACATTGGCCTGAAGTTCAATAAAATCTATTGTGTCATAGAGTTAATAGAATAAGAACTGAGGCCAAATTTCTATTTTATTATTTTATGATTTTTTTTGCTTCTCAAGATATATCTCACTGAAGAGCTAAGGTGATAAAGTTTCAGTTTAATAGAATTGTAAATAAAACATTACTAGCTCCTGTAGGACATTGTCCTCAGATGCATTCTATGGTAAAAAATTATCTTATAATAAATTTCATATAATGCTCCTTTCTCCTCTGTAAGTGTACAAATTCTACTAACTTACTCTTCATGGCTCAGTGTAAGACTTGAGGTTTTACTACATAACCATGCGTCATTCGTATCTCATTTTCCTCTTAATATTTATAGCCTTTATGATCTGTACAATTCACTTTTGTATTTCAGTAAATAATGCTTCATAGTACTATTCATTGCCCCAGCAAGTTTGACATCTCTATAGAAACCACAACCATACCTTATACATCTACAGTAGCTATTTAACCACTAGGCAAAGCCATGAAGGGTTCACTCTGTTGTTAATTAAGGCAGCTCATTACCAATCCACCAACCTTAAGAAAATAAGTATGGAATCTTTGGGTGTAAAAGCAGATAGGAACTTTAGAGACTATTTAAATTCCACTTCCACAGTTTATAGGTGAAAAAAGGAAGGTCCTAAGAAGTCAATTGATTTGTCAAAGATCATACAACTCATTAGTATCAAAGCTGAGATCAGACTGTAGAACTCTGGTCTTCTCTCTAGAGTTCTTTCGATGGCATTTATAATAACATTTAAAATTGCAATACTAAGTACCAGTTATATATTCATTCAAGAAAATGATAGGGTGTTCAGAATTTATTCACCTTCTTTTATTTGACTTTATTCATGCAAATTATATGTATATAAGAGAATATTAATATTAAAAAATAATTTAAGTATTAACTTCTTCCTTTCATGTCTTTGCTACAATAAAGGAGTCCAGTAATTTTCCACAAAATGGCCAGTGATTACATGTGAGTGGAAGTCTTTAACTTCTCAGTGATCAATGACAAAAATGGAGTGCCTGGAGGTCTTTGTTGAATAGGTGAGAAAAAATCTTCTATCATTGTTGATTAAAGATGAAGTCCATAAGGATGGACTTTATGACACAGCTTTTCTGCTTTTCTTGGTGACTGAGTAGGGGTGGGCAACATTGCCTGAAGCTGTTCTGTTTAACCACGAAGGATTCCATCAGAGATCGGTGAGGGACTAATCCCTTCAGAAAAGTACAGTTCTTGGGGTAAGAGATTAGTGGAAATGCTAATAAACATTTAATGAAAAAGGGCTCTCCAGCTAAGGGCTAAAACCACCTATAATGTTAATATTATAAGGTACTATTTCATTGGAGGGAAAAACACCCACATAGATTGTCTCCATTTAGATAATATATGGATAACTATTGTGGCCCTTTGAACTTATGTGCTTTTCAGCTTGAATGAGAGCTCCCAATAGACACAAAGGTTAATTCTATCACAAAATTTAATAATTTATGGAAGATTATGAGAATTAACATTATATTTAAGTTAGGTTCATTTTAAATCAGTTTAGTTATATCCATAATTAATTATAAATTGAAAACAATGATGAACAGAATGATTACATGAGGTGGTTATTACATAAGTTTTTTTTTAAGCGACTGTAACCAATTTTTCCTGGATAAATGTAATCTAAAAATATAGTAGGAATCAAAGGAAACAGGTGATTTAATATGCAATTAGACCCTTTGTATCCAAATATTCAAAGTAATAAAATCTATATCATAATGTAAAGCAGGTGATATGAGAGGAACAGGGAAATCCCAGGAAGGCATTACACTACTTCAAGGCACCAAATAAGTGGCCCAAGGTAAGAAGTACACTGATACTTCCCAGAACAAAGTGAGTGATAGAAATGAGAAACTCATTGTTTTAAAGAGCTGTGAAAACATAAAGAAAACTTTTAGGGGCTTTACAGATGTGTAGAGTGCCTTCACCCATAATAAAAGGCACAGTATTTTAGATTTCATTGATAAAGTTCTAAATTATTTCCAAACTCCTATGAACAAATTTAATACGCCAGTCTATATTTAAGCTCTACTTCCTTAAAACGTTAAAATTGGAATATGTTTATGCCCCTCCATCTTGACCTGTTATAACTGTATTCCTCAAATCAAATAGCATACTTTCCTCCCATGTTTAAGTTCCTTCTTTTTACATAGAGCCATTTTCTTGCAACTTGGTCCTAAGGAAGCTCCAGACTAAAATAGTGCATCAAGAGGACTGGCATAATCAGCCTCACTAAAAACAGCTTGATTAATACTAAATGTGTCCTAGTTCCTAATCAATTATGTTAATGAAGTCACAGGCAGCACATCTGCAAGCCCTGACAAAGCCCATGATCTCAGCATCGCCTGATAATATGGACTCCTCGGGAAGCTACTCAGCATTAGCAGCCTCTGTGCACGGCACACGGGACTCTGTCTCTCTGCGAAAGTAGATACTGGCTGGGTGCAGCAGCTCATGCCCATCACCCCAACTGCTCAGAAGGCTGGGATACTGACAAAAGTATTTAAAAGTAGATACTGACAAAAGACTTGTGATCCTTAAACATTTCTATTTTATTCACTTAAACATAATAATAGTACTGGATTCTAGTATAAAATGTCAAATTAAATCACTCTATAAATACAATAACAGAAGTTGTGTCACACTTAACAAATGACACATACTTTTCCAAGTGACAGATCAATAGACAAAATAGTTTGTGCCTGGTGCTTTACGAACTTCTGCTAGGAGATAAGTTGAAGCAGAACATTTGAATAAACTATCAAAGTATCCCTCAAGTCGAGGAATCTGAGTTCCTTGCTTCATGTTTATCTTGAAACAACGAAATTAGACTCCCGTGAAAATAAAGTGATACTATTATTTATTTATAGGCCGTCTTTTGTCCTGTGAACATTTTGGGCAGTGAGATAGTTGCTTGTCAGTTTTGTGTCAAATTATCTCAAGTCAAATGAGCTCTTACAGTCCAAATGCCAAAGGAAATATAACTCTGATTTTTTTTTTCTCTCTCTCTTTTTTTCTTCATTGGACTGATTTGTTCTAAATCCCTTGCTTTTTCTCTCTAGGTAAGTGACATACAATAGTAGCCTCCTCCTGGATGAATCCTTATAAGTGTCATCACCACTAATCTTGGGGGGGGGGGGGGGGAAGCCACTAGGCAACTGTTGGATCTTGAACGAGCAGGCTGGAGAGTCCACATGTGCACACAGAAGATCCCTTTCAGTTTGAGACAGTGCTAGGAGTGGAAAGCGGGCTGAGATCTGGCGTGGGAGGGATATGTCCATCTGTACTCCTAAAAAATTAGTGGCGTGCTTTCATTACTTGTGTTTTCATGTCTGTAAATTGAGTCTTGGCAAAGTAAGATCTTTTTTTCCATTAATCTTTGAGTCCCCATTACTTTGGAAAATATATCTCATGGTTGGGATTGAATAAATAATGGTTAAAGAAATGAATAAATGAATGAATGGCGACTTAAAGAAATGACATTAAATTTCCAACAAAATTGATTATAATGGCACTTCCATTTATTTCATTGATCTTGAAACATAATATTTTGAAAAAATTAATTATTAGTAATATTAACTCCTTGATGTATATAGCACTTATAAACTCTACATGTAGATACAATGGTATATATGTATATATTTATATATATATACACACACACACAATTTCATTCTCACAATAACCCTAGGATATCAGTGCTATTCTTATCCCATGCTAGAAATGAAAAAGCTCATAAATAATAAATTTAAGTTATTTTCCAAATGTACAAAAAGGTGAGCCCAGATTTAAACCCAGAAACTTTGGCACCAGAGCTTAGAGCTTTAGGCACAAAATTGACCAGGTTGTAGTAAAACTTCAAAAGTAACAAGATATATCTTTATATTTTTATCCCTATATATTTTTTTGTTGTTGTTTGACTTCTAGAATACTAAGCTGGTCATCCTTCTGGAAGCTAAAGGTCACCAATATAGAATTTTAAGGGGAAATTTTTGGTTGTCTAAAAATAAGCAAATTGGAATATCAGAAAATATAAATTGGAGTTTAGACATACTAAATATGTAGGAACATATTGGATCACACTGTTGTTTTTTCACTATTTTGTTTTCTTCCTCTACGTTATTAATATTTTGTCTACAATACAGATCTTTGTGAAAAGAAAAAATAAAGCACTTGCCTTCAAGAGTAGGTGATACCAGAGTAGGTCTGGAAGCTTGCTCTGTCGGTAATGGAGGGGGTACGGCTGGACTTTGTCCTGTGCATACAATGTAAAAGTAAGTGTTGAAAAAAAAGCATTAACAAATTTAATATCTATAACTAAAATAACTATGCCCTATATGCATAATTCATAATCCTGAATATGAATTCATATTATTATGAAATACATCTTTAAGAAGATACTTTCACAGATTCAGTTATATTCAGAGTTATTTTTCATAGATGTATATACAATGTTACCACTGCACTTCATTAATGGAAAATCTACATGTGATCAAATAAAGCAATTTATTTTCAATATGCACTTTAAATTATGGAAACTAAAATCACAGAAGCTGAGGGAAATCGTAATATAAAGAAAAATAATTGTTTTTTATTTAACTAAAAATTCTCACATGATATAATATGGTAATAAACGTAGGTTGAAATTCATAGGCCTTTTGATATTGGACAGATACATTTTTTTCCTGCCAAGATAAATGACCTGTAGTCAAGTAAATAATGAGCCAAAGGGAAAAATATATTCAGTTTTATAGAACTTTGAAAGGTTCCCTGAAGTCTCTGGGCTTATGAACTGAAAAAAAACAACCAAAAAACATCATTTCTGAGTGCTCCCTTGTCTCAAATGATTTCTTTAATTAGCCAGTATTATCCAGGCCACGAACTGTAAATATTAGCTATCATATGATCCTATATAAAATGATTGCAAAATGTTTTATCGCTAATTTTCATTCCCTAAATTCCTGCTGTGTTTTTTTATCCAGGAATCTACGTGGGCATGTGTACCTTTTAAAATCTCACTGACAACTAGATATTATCAAATGTCAGCAGACTGCCTGCTTACTGGAAGTTTTCCTTTTTTAGAATTTGTCAAAATTAGTTCTCTGTGGAGAATTATGGTTTAGCATGCGAAGAAATCAGAGTTGCACAAAGACTAACTTCCAGGCCTGGCTCCTCATGTCAAGTAGAGCTCCATTTATCACAGGTGTTCTTCTAGTTGTTACAATGTATAGATTATTCATTGAGCATGTTCAAATATGCATCAAAGCAAAGCACATTGTTTCATAACATATAGGCTATGTACCTAGAAAAATATCAATCCATATTATTGTTAACCTTCAAAGTTGAGGCTTCTGAAGCTCCTCTCAGACTGCCCATGACTGGCAGAAGAGTCCTCTTCTATAAGGGACCCCAGACTGCAGCTGAGGAGAGACAAAGGAGTAAAGTTTCTACCCTAAGTCTCTACCTTCTTTATGGCTCAAAAGGATATATACTTGGAAATATATATTATTAAGACTTGAGAGCTGTTCTTGGAATAGTATTTCTAAGGTAGGATGGTATTTTGTAGCTACTAAAATCTAGAAAGAGTCTAGATGTAAGAAGTCATCAATTAAATGACTAAAGCTTAAATAAAGTACGGTGGCCATAAATATAAATCGTTTTTTTCTAAATACTAAGATATAAAAATATCTTCATAGAATGGTGACTGTTGAATCTAAGCTCTTTTCTACCTTGTCATATACTTCTGTGAACAGTAGTGGATGTATAATCATAGTTTTTTACGGTCTTGAGGAGCTTTTGAGGAATTTATTATAAAATAAATAAAATTCTTTCCCTGGGGAATTACACATAATTTGCACAACAAAGTATTCCTAGATTTTCCTGGAAAGACCAGCACTGAACAATCATTGAACCCAAACCTGCCTTCAGGAAGGCCTCAATATACTGGTTAAAACAGACTTATAGACAGATCTTTCCTTCACAGTGTTGTGATGGGAAATAATTCATACAGGCGAGATGTTGTAGAAAGATTCTTGGAGGAGATTAACTTAAAGACCCAAAAGGAGCTTGCCTGGTAAGGAAGAGTGGGAGAGAGAAAGGGATTCCAGGTAAGGGTACACGGTGGGAAAAGAGACCTGTTAAAACGAACCAACTGGTGTTTCTGCAGCATAAAGTGTGACATCCAGTTTATATTAGAAATTCTCTACAAACCAACTATAATCAACCTTATCATGCTCTTTAAAACGGCTGATTGCATGGCTGCAAGGCAGTGGCTGCAATGGGGAAATGGAACCACAAGCAACAAAGAAAAAAGAAGGAGGAAGCCTGGCTCCATGCTGACAGTGTTAGGTAGCCCTGGCAAGGGAATTAATAACTCAGGACAACTTTTTTTGTGTTGTCTGGCACCAACAAATCAAGCATGCCACCTGACTTTAGTACTGACTTATAGAAAGCCTTCTTGTATGTTCAAATAGTGTCAGAGAGTCTTGTTGAAGTCAGAGACCATCTTGCTATGTGAATGAATATATATCATATACACTATTATAGAATAAATTATGTTAAATATAATATACCTATAATAAAAATTTTAAAGTGAGAGCAAAGTTGTTTAGTCTAAAGACTGCATGCTTAGGAGTCGAATGGTCTCATCTTCATCACTTATAAGCTATATAAATTTGAAAATCTCATGACATCTCCAAGCCTCAGTTAGAACCTTTATAAAATGAGGATAGTTTTTAAGGGTATTAGGAGGATTAACTGATGAAGCACCCAGTACATAGTAGATACTCAAAATATTAATACTTTTTCTCATAATGTGTTTACAATTTAAATCCCATTTAATTACACAAGAAGATTTGAAGCTGACTTTTGAAATAAGAAAGCAAAAACAAAGAAAATTGAACATGACAGAAATAGCAGAATTCATTACAGAAAAGAGGCTCATAATTTTATTAGGAATATGTTATTTTGGAATTCCTGAGGATTGTTACTCTCTGCAGGAAAGATTTTAAGTTGTTGAAATTTACATTGGAACTCTAAAGGTGCCCTTCATTTTACAAGCTATTATCTGAAAATCCCTCTGACATTCAAACATAGTGAGTTGGCTTTATTTCTGTTCCTTGAGTGATTTGGGATGGCTTATTTCCATAATACCTGAATGGCATGTTTGTAAGCTGCCAATATTTTATTGTTCTGAGTTTTTTCTCACACAAGTCAATTTGGTTGTTTTTGGTTTAGTCAAATTCTACTGGGGATAGTATACAGTGTGCATTCCTTCTAATGAGCTAACTTACTGATGTTTTCTCTACTTTGCAAGAAATGATGAATGGGAATACCAAGAATCTCAAGTCAAGATAGAAGTTTACAAGCTGAATTCAGATTGCATCAAAGAAAAAACAACTCACTCCACTAAAGCTTAATCTATCTCCTTTCATTATGAATGAGGCTCCTTGATTGAATACCATTTCTGGACAACTGAAGCCTATCCCCTAAATCTTGCAATAAATGTTGAGGACATTTTTTCTCTAATACCTGATAGAGACTTTATTTGATAGGCCCTTATTACATTTTTCTGCAGGTATTAAGACTTACATCCAGAAGACTATAAACATTTTAGAAGGCCTCCAGTCCTGCAAACAAAAAATGGAACTAGATCTTAGGACTGGAAAGGTGTGAAGATCTCTACTAAGTGACCAATGAGTTAAATTTTATTTATATATTTTTGTTTAAAATACAAGATATGAAAATCATTACAAATTCTTAACTCAATTCATTCTTTCAGGTTCATAGAAGGCATTTGTTAATGTATTACCAAAATTAAAGTGGAAAATGTGAATTAGTAAGGAAATGATACTTAAGTTTATTAAAGCAATAATATTACTTATACACTGGTACAAATTTCCTAGGCTATTTTTAACATGTAGAATAATATTTTTAAATTTAACAAGTACTAAAGTTAAATGAAAACATGATATTATATTTTAGGTGGAGATATGTGATCATGGTATGATTCTATATTAAAAGGAACACCTTGACCTTCAAGGTTTCTTACTGACTATCTCTTTCTCCTGTCTTATATTTGGACCACCTAGAGATGGAGGAAGGATACCACAGGGATATGGGTGCCAACCACTCCCCCTTCCCAACCCTATCTAGTAAAAAAATTAGTTGAATTGCCACTCATATAGTAATGCCAGATTTACAAATTTGCTTATTAATTGAGGACCTCACCGATGGAGAATCATCTAAAGAAATTCAAGGGTTTGTATGAGGTAGGCAGTTTGAGGAGGTTTTTACCTCAAACACAGGTATCTTTATACCTTGCATTTATTTATTGCTAAGTTTTACAATTGTATTTTGCATCCCTCTTCTGCTCTCCAGGAGCCTCTCAACCCAGGAGCAACCCTAAGTTACTGTGCAAAGAAAGATACAGCAGTGTGAAAGAGCCCTGGATGGAAAATGATAAAAAGAGAGAGACAAAGACTGAGGACAAAAGAGAAAGGCAGAGAGAGAACAAAACACAAAACCAAAAAGCACAGAGATATAGAGAGACAGAGATTCAATGGAAAAATAAGGAGGAAACAAAAAAGAAAACTCTCACCATTAAACTTCTGCTTTGTCCTACTTGACAAGCATATGATCCCAGAATTTATTTTTGCCCAGTCTCTCGGTTTTCTAAAGCTAATAATTTGCTCCTTCAGTCAGTGGCAAAAGGCTTAACTGCAAAGCATCATCTTTAATATTTGAAATGCAGTTTTGAAGTTTAGGGTACTAAGCCTTACAATATATTTTCGTGGATATAGCATATGTCACAAAGACGTGGACTGGGACTTCAGGTGTCTTGTCAGACACTCTTTCATCCATTACATCTCTCCCTGTGTACTTCTTGAGTTGTTATCATATGACATACATAGGCTTTCCTGAGGACACAGTGATTGATGAGGGCTGTCCAGAAAGTATCCAGCCCTGTAACTCTTCTCGTTTTATTAACAATGGCTGGGTACTTTCCAGACAGCCCACGTATAATGAACAAAACATGGAAAATTGTCTTGAATAGACTTGGTCCTGTGGAGCAGACAAACAATAAACAGGCAATTGTCACTTAACTTATGTCTTAGGTGCTCCAGCTGGATTGTTCTGGGTGTTTATGAAGATAGCAGTAGAAATGAATTCCCTGTGGTACAACAGTAAAGGTAGGGCCCTGGTGACATGGAGCTTACATTAATGATAGAAGGAGACAAGCCATCAAAAAGCAAG